ATTCCGCTTGCACGTTGCTACATTTAAAATGTCAGCTGTAGATCACTTTTTCTGATGGCTGGTCTGACAGTAATGGGCCTCTGTGTCCCAGGCTGGACCTGGGCCTTGGATCCTGGTACCTGTTCAGTCTCTGTGGTTCCCGGAAGTCAGCAGGGTGCCTGCTTTCTTGGGTTTGGGGATGGGGGTTAGGGCAGGGTGGTGGTGGTGAAAACGGGGAGCATCTGGTTTCCTGGAAGATGCAGCAAGGGTCAGGGTTCAAGTCAGGCCCATTGCTGACGGACATCAGGGGTCAGAACCCCCAGGATGCCATTTCCCACAGTGGGTGTCACGTGGGTCCTGCATGAGACCGTGGACTCCGGTTACCTTGTTTAACCCTCAGCCCCTGCAGAAGTAGCACCGACCCCCGCGCACAGGGGAGGAAACCGCCTCCAGAGGTCCCGCCACTGGTCAGCAGCGGACTTGAGGCTGACTGACCACCTGCCTGTCCAGGCGTGTTGCCTGGCTGCCTCCACACCACAGCCCCCCTACGGGGTTGGCCCCACGGGAGTTTGGAGCCTTGCCTGGCTGCCTAGGGGAGCTGTTCCAGGCTGGCTGTGTGTGAGGACCTTGGAGTGACCTTGCAAGGGCTGCTTTCCTGTTGGGGCCATGGAGCAGGAGCAGGGGCCCTTTAAGCCTGGGCACACTCACAGTGCTAGCTGTTCCCTCTGCTGCCCTCCCCTGCACCCCCTGTGCCAGCCAGAGATCCACCTCACCCCCCACACCATGCTGTTGACACTTCCCTTTCCTCCTCTGGGTCACTACCCCCTTGAGAAGCTGAAGAACTGTGGGTTTTTACTCCAGGAAATGAGCCTTCCCAGCTGGCCTGTGTGTGTCTGGTCGTTGACCTCTAGGATCCTGTCCATGCACCAAGGCTGGGTGCCCACCCTGGTCTGTGAACACTCGGTGCTCACTCGTTCTTTTTTCTCAGCACCCAGTGTGGGTGCCGCCTGATAATCTGCTGGGGGGTATCTGCCGTCTCTGGAGCATGGCTGGCTTCCCAGGGGCACTTGTGGCAAGAATAAGACAGACTTGGCTTGGGGCCAGCTCCCCGCCTTCCTTGGCCACAGGCAGGACGGCAGCAGTCATCTGGTGCAGGCCCTGTGATGGGGTGCTGATGGGGGGCCCACCCTGCCTCTGCCGAGGAGGGAGCCCTCTTTTCCACTGCCCGGACACCTTGCCAGGCACGGGACCGGGACCCTCGGCCTTTGTCTGCACGGGCCTTCGTCAGACTCCAGGCATCAGGCCTCGCCCAGCCTGCCTGAAAGCGGCCACCCCCTTCCTTTTTGTCCCCTGAGTGCCATCACCTTTTTAGTCCAAGGCACCTCATTCTCCCAGTGAGTCATGGTCAGACTTCCATTGCCTCAGACTCCTCCCTGTTCCTCAGAGCACTCAGGCACCCCTTGTCCTATCCCACTGCCACTGACCCCGTTCCGGCTCTTATCTGCAGCCCTATCCCCAGCTTCCTACTGTCCTCCAGCCTCCAGCTCCCTGCCTTTGGCTCCCTCTGCTCGTGAGCCTTTAGGGACTGCTCGCCCCGCCCCACGGGAGAGCAGTGACCCTCTGCCCGCCTCTGAGTCTGATTCTTGGTGAAGCACCGTGTGGGGAGTCAGATCGACCCCCGTGCAGACTGTCCGACGTCAGAAGTTACACACTCCCACCGGCTGGGGCTGCAGAGAGCAGGTGAGGGGAGAAAGTGAAAGCTCAGCACGACCTTTGCAGACACAAACAGTCTGGCCTGTTGTCCAGAAGCGTCTGTGCAGCCCTTTCCTTCCTGCCCCCGGGGTCTGCTGCCTCGTCCACCCAGCCGCAGGTCTTCTCCTTGGCCCAGGCCATTCATTTTTGCACCCGTGCATAACATCAGGCTGCTCGTCCCATTTTCATAGACAAGGAAACCGAGGTCACAGCACAGCAGCAGGAAGCACGGCTTGACACCTGAGTTCTGGCCCAGAGCCCGCAGCTCACACTATGCTGTGCCCCCTCGAGGCCGTGTCAGGCCCATGGGCACAGATGGATGAGAAGCATTTGTCCTCAAGGAATTCGCCAGCTGCAGGGCCGGGTGGGCACAGGGGCCCAGAGTCAGGGGCCTGCAGCCTGCCCCCATCACTGCCTGCCCAGGAGGGTCAGACCTCCCTCCTCCCTCCCCCAGTCCCCGGGCATAGAGAGCTGGCAGGTCTGTGCCCAGGCTTGGAGGTGGTGTAGGAGAGGGGGGTGCGAACAGGACTGGGAAGGAAGGAGAGGCCCGGGGACCTGGGAGGGGTGTGTATAAGGGGCGTTCGGCAGTGAGTTGCATTTAAGGGTCTGGGGTGGGTGGGGTGTCTCTAGATCCCCTGAGATTCTGTGCACCTGAGGCCCCGCCTGCCTGTGCTCCTCCCACGAGTGTCCGCCAGGTCTGAGTGCACATGGCCAGCTCTGCAGGTGGGAGCATGGGAGAGGGCGGGGGCGGGGCTGTTTCTAGAACCAAGTGCCACTCTTGACTCTCATCCCCTTGGTGAGGGTGCAGGGTGTCGGGAGGACCTCTGTGACCTTGGGCAAGTCCTTCCCTTTTTCTGACGGCGGTTGTCCTGCCAGCCCTTCAGTTCTGAGCCTGAGCCTCCCAGGCTGGGGGTGGGGGACTGTGAGGCTTGTCTGCACCGCTGCCCCTTCCCAGGCAGGGAGGGTCCTGCCTTGTGACCTAGGCCAGTAGCGCTTAAAAGCTGTCCTGTCTGCATCGCTGTTCAGCAGGAAGACTGGGTCCCGTGCCCGCACGTTTGTGGGGCCTGTGTCTCTGGTCACCTGCCCTTGCCCACGCGTGTATCTTCATTGTTCTTGAGTCCCTGCTCATGGCACTGCACCCAGACTGGGGCCCTCCTTACCCTCACCCTGTCTGCAGAGCTAATGCTGCACCCCACCCACCAGACTGCTGGGCATTTAAAAATGTTCTTTAGATAGTTGGGTGTTTTCCATTTTATTAATGAATAACTTGGCCTTTGCCAGGCACTTGCGTGTCTCTGGGATTCCAGGTGGTGGCGGCACGGCTGCTGAGTGGCCCTTGCTCAGGGCTGGGAAGGGTGCTCCCAAAGGCTGTTCCCGCAGTCCCCGCCTCTCTGCCAGCTGGCCCAGGTGAGCCCCGTGGAAGGGAGCCTTCGGGAGGTGGGGGGAGTTGCCCAGCAGCCGCTTGGGGGAAGCTGAGCCTCCTCTTCTCTTCCTTCTGGTCCTTCCTCGCCACGGGAAGCACCATCACCCCGTCCCCTTGGCAAGCACCTCTGGCCCTCAGGGAGCCTGCGGCTGGCAGGGGCAAGGAGCTTGTTTGCATGTCCTGCTTCGGGCTGGCTTCATCGGCCAGCATTTCGTCAGGGAGGGTGTGTGGGTCGGCCCAGCAGCCCTGGGGCCTGTGGAGAAGCCTGGCTTGTTTCTCAGCTACGAGGCTCTCCATTCCCTCTTGGCCATCCCTGTGAATGCCTCTCGCCCTCCTGCTGCCCCCTGGTGGGCAGGCTCCCGGAAGTCCTCTGGTCCCCCCTCCATCAGCACCCCGTCTCCCCTCTCCTCCTCTCTGTGTCAGCCCCGCCTGCCTTGGCAGCCTGCCGACATTCACCTTCACCTTCACGCTGCTGCTGTGTGTGCTTCAGGCCACGCCCGCCTCTGCTTCAGCTGTGCTCCCCTCCCTCCCAGAACGTCCTCCTTCCTCCTGTCTCCCCATCCTGCCCACCCTCGGTAGGAACCCCTCCCCCGTAGAACCATGTTGACCTCTCTAGCTGCTGTCACTCCTTCCTGCTGCCTGTCCCCAGAGACCAAGCTGCCGGCTGAGAGAGCGAGGAGGCATCTCAGTCTGTTCACATCTCGACCCCCACCTGGGCCAGGCCTCCACCTGGCTTCGGCGTCTTCTCTCCATAGGCTGTGGCCTGGGAGTGGCAGTTCGGCTCGCTCTCGGGGTCAGCGTGGTGAACGCTGGCAGGAAGTGACTCAAAGCCAGTGTCCCTCGTGGGGGCACACTCGACTCCTAGGAGCACAGGGCAAGCAGCTGTCAGTTCTGATGTGTGTGTCTGTGCCAGCTCGCTCTTGTCTTCGTCACAGCAGTCCCTGTGGAGGCTTCCCGCTGTCTCCTCAGCACCCTGCCGTGCGTCAAGGCAGGTCCTTGGGGAGGAAGTGACACTGACCCCCTGGGGGGCTCCCCCTTGTGCAGGCAGATCCTGGACAGGCTCTATTCTGGAGCCTCCCACGTGCTCCGAGGGCAGGTCATGCATTCGGACAGACATGGAGGCTCACACACCCTGCGTGCACATTTGAGTGCGGGGGAGCCCAACAGAGCTTTCGCTGCAGCTGGGAGCCTGGCAGTGCCCTCCTGTGGGGCCTGTGCTCCTGAGAGCAGGCATACTGTCAAGGCTGCGATGAGAATGACCTCTAGACTCACAGACCGGTCGGGGGCAGCAGGAAGACAGATTACAGAAGCTTTTCCCATAGGAATTGCAACGAGTCCCCCTTCCCCCCGTTTCCCGAGGACATTGCAGGGGTGAGTGGTTACAGGCCTGGTCTGAGGTTGAGTTATGCTGCTCCTGACGGGAACCACAGAGGTGTTTCTGGAGCGAAGGCCCGGGGCCTGACCTCCCGGATTGCTGGTGGCTGCTCCTCCCTAGTCTCCCAGCTCAGCGGGTGGAGCTATTCAGACCCAGGAAGGTGCTGATGGCCTGCCAGTGTGAGCCCTCTGTAGCACCTGAAGCCTCCTGGCTCCCCCTGCTAGTGGTCCGAGGGCCTCTGGGCCTTGGCCTGGACTGGGTGGTGGGTTCTGAATTCTGCCGGGAGTTGAGGGCGAGGAGGGAGGCACCAGCGCTGTGGCGGCAGTGACAGCGGCCGTGCCTGCTCGGAGGCTGCAGCTGCTGGCCTGGGTCTGCCTCCGAGATCTCCTATTCCTCATTCGCTGCCCGGGCGCTGTGGGCTGGAAGTAGGCACGTTCATCTGAGCAGCTGGTTCTCTCCCTTCCTTTGCAGGACAAGGAAGATGCGGAGCCAAAGACCAAGCAGCTTCGAGAAGGGGAGGAGGAGGGCGAGAAGCACAGGTAATGCCCGCTCGCAGCTCCCTGCCCTCCTCTGCTCCAGCCCCTGTTGGTTCTCACGTCCTCCCACTCTGCGTTCAGCCTCCGCCGTTCCTTCCTCACCGGCCCCTCTGCCCGGTCAGACCTGCACCCGCCCCCACTGGCCCTGTGACGCTCAGCCCAGCCTTTCCTGCTGACCCCACGTTCTGCCTCCTCGCTCTCCAAGCCCTCGCGTGGCTCGGCTCTACAGCACCTGCAGACCTGGCTCCAAGCCTCCCTGGTGTGTGAGCTAGCGGGGCCAGCGGGCTGGGGCCACTCAGTGTTTCCCACACGTCACCTGAGCTGTCCCAGCCTGGCACTCCTTTCCTTGTCCCCCGACATTCGGCTTCCTGTAGAGCTCAGCCTCCGCTCTTTCTGTCCTCTCGTCCCCCTCAGTAGCTCACCTACAGGATTGATCTTATTTTGCCAAATCCCGTCGTCTGGTTGGGTCTGGTAAAGTTGCCTACACAAGGCTCCCTCGCCCTGTGGTTGCAGGCACATGAGAGCTGGAACCTCCAACAGAGATTCTGGGACAGGTTTCGGAAGCATGTGGAGGGCAGGGAGGGGCTGGGTGGTTGGTCCTCGTGAGCCGGGTAAGCTTCGTGTCTGTTAGCACTTCCTGCCCAGCCCTGAGCTGGGGCCACCGAGCAGCTGTGGAGCTCTGCTTGGGCCAGACCTGGTGTCTGCGTGGACAGGTGGCCTTGGTGGCCTTTGCCCTGAGCCGTTTCCTTCAGGCACAGGCCTGTGGAGGCTCCTGCTCACATGGGGGTAGGTCTTGGTGCCCTGAGAAAGCTGGGCTCCGTGGGCTCTTGGTTGAGGGGGTGCACAGGAGGGGAGGGGTGCTCCCTAAGGGGCTCGGCCGGCACCTGGGAGCACGCTTTCCTGATGCCACGGCCTCATGTCGCCTTCACCAGAGTAAGTGGAACCCTCCCCAGGTGCAGGCCCCTCCTCTCTGCCCCATTCAGAAGCCCATCTCAGAGGAGCCAGGGCCATTTCAAGTTCACAGGGATGTGTGCCTGCACCTGGCTTGGCTGTTTACCAAGTGTGTTCACACGTCCTTGGGCGGGTCGCGTTTTTTTCCTGAGCCTCTCCACCTGCATATCTTCAGCTGAGATGGGGAAGCAAACTGGCTTCCTTTCTGGGGAGTGGAGCGCACGCCATCGCTGTTACCTGGCTGGGCTGGGGCTTTGGGCAGAAGGAGGAAACTTTGGGTTCCTCCTGAGAGCTGAGGGCTCCAGACACACCCGGAAAAGGCAGTTAACTTTTGCGTAAGGTCTCTGCTAACTTTGCAAATGGGACAGGAGTTGGGAGAACAGCGAGGGGGTGGGTGAGGGTGGAAATAAGCACATGTGACCAAGAAACGGGTGGTTAGGACCCTCTGTAGAGCTTCCCTTGCGTGCGATAGATGGCCCTCAGCAAACACGTGGCGTCGTTAGCAGGTCCCGTTGTCGGCCCAGATACGCTGTGGGGCAGGCATTGCCTCAGTCTGTGGCTGAGGAGATGGACTCCAGTCGCGTTGGAGCAGGCGCCCCGGGCCTCACCCCTCAGCCTGTGCTGGGCAGTCACCACCTCCCTCTGCCCAGGCGCCTGCCCGTCTGCCGAGGAGGCCAGGATCCTGCTGTCCACACGCCTTTGCCTTTCCTTATCCTTGTGGGATCTGATCATTCATATTTATGGAAAAGCTTGCTAGGATTTTGATGGGAATTGCATGGATTCTCTAGATCCCAAATTTTTTTTAAGTTTTATTGCTCCCTTTGCGATAAATCCTGTCCCGTCCTCATACAACCAAATCCCCATGGGGGAGTCGGCCCCTCTAGGTCGACCGGCCCAGGCTCCACTCTGAGAAAGACATGTCCCCACCCCCAGAGGGTCCCTGCTTCTTCTCTGGGCTGGACCTGCCCTCCTGTGGCTTGTTCTGCAGGGCGGCCATGCCTCCTCTCTAACCCAGCCCCTCCGCCGCCACCTCCCTCAAAAGGAGAAGTGCTGCCCCAAAAGGAGGTGCTCTTGCCTCTGTCCCACAGGCCCTCTGTCTGTTCAGCCACCTGCCCAGTGTCCTGATGTAAAAGGTTCACTGCAGCCTGCCCTTGGGAAGCCGGCTGCAGAGGGCTTCGTGCAGCTGCTCTGCTTTCTAAGCCTCAGTCACTCCCCGTGGCAGGTTGGCTGGTCTGTGCATGAGGCGGGTCTAGGCCGGGCTTGTGATTGCGGAGAGGGGAGGTGTTGGCACTCCTTCGTAAGGGGCCCCACAGCCGCCGCCTCCCTCTGCTTTGGATCACGTCTACCCCAGCTGGAGCAGTCACTGCTCAGGGACAGTGGCTCTCCCTGGCGTGGCTGTCGCATCCTGTGTCCTGGCCTGTGGAGAAAGTGGTACCAACCTGCCTTCTCCGGGTGGAAAACTAGTTCTCCAGCTCCACGTGGAGAGAGGTCCCGCCAGCTGAGGCCCAGCCCAGACCTGGCCTGGCGCCCACACCCTTTAGGCTGGTAAATGCCAGGCCCTCTCTCCTCTGCGGGTTGGGTCCCAGGATGGTGTCTGAAGCAGGGTGTGCTCACTCGCAGATCATGACGTCAGCTTGACTTGGCAAACATTGCCCCATTCTAGTGGTGCCTCCCAGAGCGGCTCCCTCCCCGCCTCCTGCTCCAGGCCAGGGTGTCCCAGCGTGGGCAGGAGGCTGGACCGTGGGCAGGGGCCTGGACCGTGGGCAGGGGGCTGGACCGTGGGCAGGGGGCTGGACCGTAGGCAGGGGCCAGACCATAGGCAGGGGGCGGACCGTAGGCAGGGGGCTGGACCGTGGGCAGGAGGCTGGACCGTAGGCAGGGGGCTGGACCGTGGGCAGGGGGCTGGACCATAGCTCCAGGATTTGTGCTGAGGCAGCAGCTCAGACACCTGCTGTCACCCTGTTTTTCCTGATCCTGTTGCTCAGGAGTGGGCCCTGGGATGTGGGCAACTGAACCAAGAGAGGACTGGTTTCGGGATGGTGTGTCATGGAAACCGTGGGAAGCAGACTGGCCCTGACTGTGGGGGAGGGTGGCTGGGTCCTGCTGCCTGGAAATAAGTCTTGATCTTGTATGTCATGACCTTCAGTGCTGCCAGAGCCCTTCTCACCCAGTCTTCCCCTCGGTGGGGCGGGTGTGGTCCACCCTGAGGTGAGGAAACCACATTCACGCTGGTGACGCCTCGAAGGCCTCCCATCCGAGAGGGAGAGCAGCCCCTCCTCCTTTGGCCCCTGTCTGATAGAGAACAATGAGCCCCCCAGTCCCATCAGTCCCGCGTGGGGACCCGGACATTCCTGTCCTCGGCCTGCAAGCTCCGTGAACAGCCAGGGAACAGCCAGCGGCAGTGACCATGGAAACAGCCTTGGGCTTGGAACATTTTAATGTGACTTGAAGGGAGGACGGGGGCAGGCCTGGAGCAGTGGTGGTCCCACTTGGGATTGTGGCCTCGCCTTTCCATGGGCTCCAGGCCTTGATTACGTTGGGGACAGGGAGTGTCTCCATGTGCCAGGCCTACAGGCTAAAGCAGACGTGCTGCGGGCGGGGTGTTCGGGAAGAGCTCCTGCGTCTCTGGACGTTCAGGGAAAGAGAGCCTTCTGGGCTCAGGAGCTGATGGCCCGGCGGAGCTGGTGTCCAGGGCTGTGACTGAGGAGCGCCTCTCACCACTGTCCCTCTGGCCCCCAGGCCACGCGGGGCTGCCCAGTTCTGCCTCTCCAGGGTGCAGGGCAGGCTGCGTGCGCGGGAGTGCCGGGGGAGCGGCCCTGAGAGCACCGGGGAGAGAAGAGAGGGCAGGCCCTGAGGGTGAGACTTGTGGCATGAAGAGGGGGCAGGGCCGGGCCGGACGCCTGCCACGCAGTGTGGACGCTCAGATCCATTGGTCGGGAGGTGGGCCAGGTAGTCAGTCGGGAAGCCGCCTTTCTCTCTGGCGTGAACTCATGCACCGGGCCTCTAGAATACAGTAATAGATAATAGTAATACAAGAAGAAACTGAGTGGCATGCTCACAGCTGTGAACCTAGCTTTTCCCACCCCTGTGTCTGTTGTCAGGCTTTTTAAGTTGTTTGCGGAGGGCGGGAGGGCTTAAACAAGCCGCAGCCCTGCATCGGAAAGGCCAGGCCTGAGCAGAACCCTGTGCCCAGGACCTCTCCCAGAGGCTTGCCCTTTGGCTGTGCCGGGGGTGGGGTGGGAGGGGCAGTGTCTTCAGCTCTCACAGTGAGTCCGGGGGCCTTGAACCTGGCTTGACAGACCTGACACCCAGCATAGCCTGCCTCCTGGTTTGCAGATGTGGAAGCTGAGGCCCAGAATGGGACAGTCCACTGACCGGGACCCAGGTGTTCATGATTGACCAGTGCCCAGCTCCAGGGGCCACAGGGACAGTGGGAGCTGGGGTCTGCTGAGCGTTTTTCCAGGGGCTTCTGGCACCTCCCTGTCCCCTGCCGTGTCCTCCCTCAGTCCAGCTGCTGTGCTGAGGCCCGGGCAGGGGAGGGCATGGGTGTGTGCCGCTCAGGGTCCTGGCACAGTCGTGTCCGCCCCCCCCCCCCCCCCCCCCACGGGCCCTGCTCTGTGTGTGACAGGGTAGAGCCATAACCTCTCCATCGGCCCTGCCCTGAGTGTG